CCACTGCATTTCACTCGACCAGCTATATGTACTGAGGAGGGTCCAAACCAAAGACCGAAACGTTTACTTTATTATATATATTTTATTCAATTTGTTGAATTTGTAATATTTTATTACTGTCGCCCGTCTATCGTCGCGAACGAGCTCTCATTTGCCTTGTTTTGTTTATTTCTGCCAAAATTATTTGTATTTCTGCTGCTCTACTTCTTACGCAAGCATCTGCCGTAATTCTTGTTGAATTCTGCTGTATGTGCTAGTTTGCAACAATGCCGCTAGGCGGCGCATAATAGTAAAACTAACTCGCAAGTAAATTTCAGTTGGGATCTAATATAAGCAGGCCTCCGGCGAAGCCCGAAGCAAAATCATGACATTTGCGACAATCTTCGCTAGCAATACAACGCAAGGCTTACCCAACACCACTGCGGTGCTATAAATATAAAAAATATTTTTGTAAATTATTTTAATCTGTCTAAAAAATATTTTAAAAATATTTTGTGTTCTATGGGTAGCAGTAGGCGCTGCTACAAATCTGGCGCGATTATGTTGCACTGCGATTTGTGCAAGCATCTGCCACATTTCTTGCACTATTCTGCTATATGTAAATGCATACACATATCTTCCACAATTCTGTTGCACTACGACGAGAGCAAGTTTCTGCCAACAGAAAAATAGTCAAAGTTGGAAATAGAAAACGCATTATCTGCCCGAAAGTTAATGCACGACTTTTCGTGCAGTTTTACAGCAGAATTGCAAAGGAATGGTTACCAGGGAACAGTTTCCGCGTGAAATTTGTTGCCTTTCTGATACCAAAAATTTTGCAGAATCTGCTGCTCAGGTTTGGCTTGCAGATTTAAAAAAAAATATCACTAAGAATTAACTCCAGGCTAGTGAATGCTCAGTCCATTGCACTCCACCGTTGTATTTTATAAATGCAGCCAATTTATTATAAACCAATAATAAACATCCAAAGATTGTTCGGCAATTAACATTTATTTCATCTACTCCGTGTTATCTCATCTGCGTTCGTTATTAATATTTTTAGAGTAAATTGAGCTCTTCGATCCACTCTGGATTAGAAGGCCAAGCTTGCAGATGTATGTTCGTTTGCACGCAAAAATTTAAGTATATAGGTACTCCTATGCACTTCTTCTTATTCTATTTTAGTATTTTTATGCACTTAACTCTAATATTTAACCTTAATAAAATTTAATAAATGTTGAGGCTAAAGTGAGTTATGGCAACGACAACTCAGAATAAAATATTAATAAATAAAATCACTTAAATTACAGGACAAAATAAATAATAAAGTAATTGGTTATATTTTTTATTTTGGGATATATTTTTTCAAGACACTGATGATGACGATAAAGATGAAAATTTAAAACTTCTAAGAGTTAATCAATATCCAGAAGAAATTATTGTCCCTCATTTCTCTGCTAAATATTTATTATGCATTTCCGTATAACACGTTGCCGGTTCTGTCAAAATTAAGTTAATTCGTCCGTTTTTTGGTCAAAACATTTACGTAATTTACCCGGAATTTGGACCAGGTTGTGCGATTAATCCAATCCGAAGAGATATCAAATTTTGTATGTTTTAAAAGAATCACAAATCCTACACACAAAACCTGCCTTATTTATGTGACATATTTTTGCCATTAATTATTTCGTCCTTTCATTAAAAATAATGAATACAGATAATTATAAAATATAGATATATAAAGTGTAAATATATTTTTTTATTTTTCGATTCTGACATTATTTCGAAGGATAAAATACAACCAATCTTGCTGAAATTTTAGATATAAATTTGAATTTGAATAGAAACAATTAACGGTAAAACTTAACAGAATATAATCTTAATTAGATCCGTTATCTAGTTATCCATGAAACAAATGTAAATCGAGTATTTAAATATATTTTTTCATTCCCTTGATCTTTCATTTACATAAAAATCAATTATTGGCATTTCCGTTGCGTGAATATCATTGCAACGTTCCGATCCGACTAATGCGAATGCTACGGGATCAATATGGACCAATCGTAAAAATTGATGGCCCAACATTTAGTAAGAACCCGCGCGCGAGAATTTTTTTATTGTCTCCATATTTATGCGAACAAATGTATAAATATCAAGACAAATTGCCATCGCCTGGAATCTCCTTAGGGCCTGATTGCAATCGAATAGTTTTAGAGTCGCATAGTTTTGTTTTTAGTTTGTTTCTCTCCGCGAGATGGAGCTCTGAGTTGCCACTTAAGGGGAACAGTTAGTCTTACCAAAGATTCCGAGCGGTACGCAACGCGAAAGTAGTTCGTCTCACGTAAGATTTCCTACCAGTATACGCCTCGCGATATCAGTCAAAGCGATTTCTTGTATAAATAAAGTTTTTGTACTCAGCAAGAAGTGTAGTGCTTCCAAAAATCACCCTTGCCTTACCAGATCCACACTAACTAACAAAACATTGGTCCTTCGAGCCGGATCTGGGCGAGGCGCGGTTTTCTCGTGCAAATCGGTTTTCGAGTCGCGAACGACCGAGTGTACAAAGACGAAAGACGAGTATACGTGCGCGGTGAGAACAGTTTTCGCGTGATTAGACGAGCATAATTCCGTCAAGCCGAAAGGTCGCGTCGTTGTTGGCCTCACGTAACGGTCAAGCAAAATGTCGGCGTTCGAGAAGCTCGTAAGAAAGCGGGCGTACATAAAAGGGCGCGTTACTTCCATAAACCGATGGATCCAAACGTGCGTCATTTCCGAATCAACGAAACACGAGATCGATACGTTTTTAAGCGCACTGGATCGACATCTCAAGGATTTCTCGCAGATACAGGACCAAATCGACGAACAAGATGGCTTATCTGCCGACGAGCAACAGAAGGAACGGGGCGATTTCGAAGACGGCCATCTTAAGACCGAGTCGTCCCTCCGCTTGTTGCAAGCACGAACTCGAGCGGCGCAACAGGCGACCGCAGCCGCAGCGCCATCCAACGCCGCGCAACGAAGCGAGTCATCAAACACACCGACGACTGCATCTGTCAAACTTCCCGAGATCAAACTAACCCCATTCGACGGTGAATGGGAGAACTGGTTGACTTTCAAGAATATTTTTACGGAGCTTATCCAAAACAATGTGCGATTGAACGACACACAGCGGTTCTATTACTTAAAGTCATACGTAAGCGCGGGATCGGCGAGGCAATACGTCGAACTTCCGCTCACCGCCGAAAACTATGCCGTCGCGTGGCAGCAGCTGACGCAGCATTACGATAACAAAGCTCGCATTATAAAGAAACACATCAAGAATTTCTATATGATTTGAAGATAACACAAGAAGACTCCGCATCATCCTTGCAGACTCTGATTGACGGAGTGCGGCGAAACTATCATGCCTTGAGGGCTCTCAAGCAACCGGTTGACAAGTGGGATGCGTTTCTCACGTATCATATTACGACTAAACTCGATGCAGCGTCAAGGAAGGAGATCGAATCAAAGGCTCCGACCGACAGAATACAAACCTTCGAGGAAATCATGACAGTGCTAGAAGAACGAGTGCGCGTGTTAGAGGCAATTGCGACAAGTGCGCGCGCGAAACCGGAAAGGTCCAGTAAGGCCTTTGTAGCTACATCAAAGGTTACGTGTGGCATCTGTCAAGCGGAACATTCAGTGTTCAAGTGCAAAAAGCTAACGGACCTGCCGGTAAATCAAAGAATAACGGCAGCGCGTAAATTAAATCTCTGCATTAATTGTTTAGGCAGTTCACATCGTGCGATAGATTGCAAATCCGGAGGCTGCCGAATCTGTCAAAGGCGACATCACACGCTGCTCCATTTGAAGACAAACGCGCTCGAGTCTCCGACACAGCCAAACGCGATCGACACAAAGGATGCCTCGTCTAACGGAAGTAAACAAGAAGCTAACGTGAGCTCATCGACAACGACTTGCAATTTGAATGTTCGTTCGGAACCTAAAGTCAAGCAAGTATTACTAGCTACTGCGATAATCAAAATTTATGATTCTAGTGGACAGGAGCATCTAGCTCGAGCACTCCTTGACGAGTGCTCTCAAAACAGCTTTTTAACTACACGCATGTATCAAACGTTGCAATTGAAGGGAAGAAGGGTTAACCTTCAAGTAACTGGATTGAATGATGCTCAAACACGGGCACATATTATTGTGCGCACAACTATAGGATCACGCATCTCGTCTTTTAGAACACCTCCCAGGTAGCAGACAGTCGTCATAATGACGTAATTCTTACGTAATTTTATGACGTATGTTACGTCATTTATTCCTAAAGTTTAACGTAAAAATGACGTATTTTTCACGGTTCTAAGTCACATCCCAACAACGTCATTTTCTGACGTTTTATTGACGGCAAAAATAGGTCCAATGTACGACATACCGGTTTCCAGAAATGTTTTTTATGAAATTAAAATTTTAAAATGTCTACTTGATAAACGTTTATTAAAAAATGTTCTTTTTCTTTATTTAAGAAAAAAAGCTTTTTTAACTGTTTCGTTACATGCCATGTGCGTATAGCCGCTCTCAAGGCGGT